TACGGTTTGTTTTCGCTTTGAATCAAGCATAAATATGTATTTGCATAAATTTTCAATATTTTCCAGCTAATTGCTTTGCTCAACTATACGTTGTTGTAGAAGTTTTCTTATCACACTACCCAAGATGCAGCGCCTTTTCTTTTCAATAAATTTCAGCTTTTTTCGCCGAAGTTTTCAAGCACTCACACCGCCATGAATATGCGCGATTATCGAGATGGCATGAAATAAATATGCATAGCTAGGCGAATAATTAAAATCGCCATAGCTGCTTGGACGCCATGCCGTTCCTCACTACCAACGCACAGACACACACACACATACATGTAAATCTATCTCTGCTTCGCCGCTGGCGTTTTTTAACTTGCCGCCGAATTTCCCCGCTTGCCCGCCAACGACGCCGCTGATTGCTGTGGCTGTGGCGCTTTATTGCGTTAATAGTTCGGTAGTAATCCATGCTAAGATAAGCGCCGCACTTTATAGCCGACAATTAAACACTTCACTTTAATCTGTTTGCGATAATTATGGGAACAAGTACTCCCAGCTAAGTATTTATCTACGCGCAATTAGCACCTATTTTTGTTTTATCCTCTTTGGATGAAACTCGACTGTATATATGTATGTATATACATATGTTTGTTTGCGGATGGATGGTGATGTCTTTGTGTTAGTGCAAGAGCGCCATAAGGCCCGTCTATGGACAAGGTTGTCTGCAGATTTGTGAAAAATGGAAAAGTACGTCCGTCCGTGATTCGTTTCTTGATTATCGCATGACAAATACTACAGTGAACTCAATGAACACTTGGATACAGTGTACGGTGACTCTTCTCAATTGATGGCGATAGCCAAAAATTTTTTTATCAAGTTTCTAGGTGGTCGCAAGTCAGTTTTTAATGAGCCATACCAAGCGGCCCAGAAGCAGCTACGACAGAGGATAACGTGTTTGTTCACTTTGAACAGCAAACGCAACCGTCTGACCACTTCAATTGCTGAACGTAGTCCGAATTAATTTCGTGACCGTCCATGAAACATATATCCTTCGAATCACACCAGAGACCAAAGGACAGTCGAATCAGTGGATTTCACCCGACGAAACTGTTTCGAAGAGGTCGTAGACTCTGCTATCGGGTTAAAAATGATACTCACCGTTTACTGGGGTGCACATGGACTGATATATATCGACTACCTGAAGGAGAGCCAAACAATATCATGAAAATAACCGCTTCACAACTACGTACTCCCACAGCTCACAGCCACCATATTCTCCAGATAACCAAGCGAACTACAACTTAAAGACAGGTTCTGCAATACACCATCCCAGATAAAACAAGAAAAAACGTTAACTTCGGTTGCGCCGAAGCTATAATACCCTTCACAAAAACAAAGGCCCCTTACAAGAACTTGATTCCGAACGTTCAATTTGTATGGCAGCTATATGATATAGTGATCTGATCTGACCAATTTCTGTGGAGAATAATTTGTTGCCTTAAGCAATAACTCGTGCCTAATTTCGTGAAGATACCTCGTCAAATAAAAAAATGTTCCATACAAGCACTTTACTCCGATCGTTCAGTTAATATGGCAGCTATATGCTATAGTCATCCGATCCATACAATTTCTTCGGAGATTAGATTAATGCTTTAAATAATAATACATGCCAAATTTCGTGAAGATACCTCGTCAAATGAAAGAGTTTTCAATACAAACACTTGATTCCGATTGTTCAGTTTGTATGGCAGCTATATGCTATAGTGGTCCGATATCGGCCGTTCCGACAAATGAGCAGCTTCTTGGGGAGAAAAAGAAGTGTTCAAAATTTCAGATCGATATCTCAAAAACTGAGGGACTAGTTCGCGTATATACATGGCTAAATCAACTCAGCTCGTCACGGTGATCATTTATATATATACTTTATATGGTCTCCGACGTTTCCTTCTGGGTGTTACAAACTTCGTGGCAAAATTAATATACCCTGTTCAGTGTATAAAAATATGACTAGTGTTCGACTGATTCTCAGCTTTTGGCCGACGTCGATTCTTTTGACCGATACTGGCCAATGCCAATTTCGATTAACCGGACGAACTGACCAAGTAAACGATCGCAATTATCGATTCTGAACAGCAACGATTGTCATCACTGTCACTCACCCGAGATATACGATAGATATGCTTTGTGAAAAAAGTTCGATGTATGATTTTGTATGAGACGTTCACAGCGAAGCAAATGTTGGGCAACTCTCACCTTTTTATGCTTTGCCAAGTAACAGTCGCCACTTTTTTAAATAGTAGCAGGGAAAGCGAAGCGTTTATTTTGAGCTACTCTTTGCTTGCTTCTTTTATTGTTGAAGTACGAATTTTCAAGCAAAGTGAGGAATTTTGTATGTGAATCGGCCATAAGAAACTCATGGGAACTTTAAAAGAAATTTTCGGCAGTACTTAACCAGTGATTTACCCGATAGGTATGTATGTGCTATTTTTCACCCGGATTCTTTCAATGTATTGGAGTTTCAGTAGTCGGGACCTGCTGGTTATGTATTGTCGTTCAAACGCACTACAGAAAAATCAGACCGAAATCGTTTCTCTGTTATCTCTCTTTCTGTCATTCTTGGATTCTTCAACATGCTACCATATTTCAAAAAAGTTGTGATCATGCATTTCTTAGAATCAACTGATGGTTTGAAGTTCTTCCAATTAAGGACCTCAATATATGGTAGATATGCTTTACCCAAAACTTTAACGGCAATATATTGAAAAATGGTTTTCTCAATATCTGGTTCAACCATCTGTCAGTTAAGTTCTGGTAAAGTTTACCAATAGCAGGAGATTAGCTTCTAAGCAGAACACGAAATGACAGCTGTCAGCTGTAAAATCTATAAGAAAAATCAATTGCATGGACGGCGTTCAGATGGTGACTCATTTATCGCTCATTATTAGTATATATTATACATATTTGCACTTATATCTATATACATATTACATACAAAAAGGGGTTATAACATTCAAATTTCCGAATATAATGTAAATATTACTTTGAAACCGAGCGCTGTTGCAACCGAGAATGAAATTTAAAAATGAATAGGAATGCCGAATTGCGTAGCAGCGAGCTGTTGCGGAAACAACACAAAGCTTGCCACTCGAACACGAGCGGAACGGTCTCTTCGTCTCTTCTCGTCGTCCCCTCGTTTACCTAAACCGGTTTGGACGGCTAACAGAGTCTTCGTCTGAACATGCACATACATGGCTCATAACGTTTACACAGTTTTGCGTGTTCACAATGAACTGTTTTCCCCACGCATTCACAATAATCAAACATGACATCTGTAGATAAGCTAACCACAACTTGGTGAAAACGGTTTTGTCAGTTAAAGCTATTATCCAGTTAAGCTACCAGCAGTTAAGAATAATATTAACCGGGTAATGAGAAAGCGGCCCTTATTGTCTCAAATGTTCTCTCTTACTAGTCGTTCGACAAATGGAACGTTTTTTTGGAAAATAGTATTAAAAAAGCTATGATCGGTATGGAATCAAAACCACTTTCTTAACACCTACTTGCAATCTTGCTTCTACAAGGAGTTTCGAACGGAGCTTTTCACTCGTAAAATGTTTATATAATAATTTAATAAGAGATATTAAACTGCGAATAAAATAAAAAATTAAAAATAGTATATTTGTTTCTAAGGCTCTTAAACTAAATGCATTGTAAGCGATATATATTACTGTATATCATATATTTATTACATAAATTATTATCAAAAACCATAAGATTTCGGTTTTGAAATGCTAAAATATGTTAAATAGAATTAAAAACGCGCTTTTGTGAATTTTTCTACGAGATATTTTATTTAATTAATAAATAAAAATAATATTCATATGTTATACTCAATTTAATGTATTTTATCCCGTAGCCTATCTTCAGGAGGTCCTCCGAAAAATAGAGTCTGGCGGTGAGGAAAATTTTTTTGCATGTAATTATCTTAAATCCATAAACCAACAAATCTTATTACTATACATTAATACAGAAAAATACTGCTTTTTAACAAAATGCGGCTCCGAAAAACAAATACCGATTTTTTGGGATAAATTTACACTTCAAAAAGGCTCAAATTATTACCAAAAATCGTATTCCTTCGATCACTACCTGACAAATATATCTAAGAACGTTGTGTAAAAATTTCAAGTCGATCGGTCCAACCGTTTCGGTGTAATTTTCCTTACCGTCTCTCAAAATAGTGTTTCTAGTAAAATGCGTTTAAGATTTTAGAAACCGATCACATTAAGCTCAAACTACGTTCATGACCCCGAAACTGTTCGCCGGCTCAACTTAAAATTTTACGAATAATATTATCTTACATATGTATTTTCCATATACATATATTTATATGCAAAACAAGAAATATATTTTTTGAAGTGGATATAACCGCTTAATAAATTGTTAAATACCTGCGACTGTAAAATTTTTGTAAAGAACGCCCTGCAATAGTTCACAATAACCAAATAGGTTGAACGAATGTTTTACCGCCACTTTTTATTCGCGAACGAGACTTCAGATGTTCGAAATAACGGAGGAAGTTAAGGAATATTTTTAGAAAGCATATATTTAGCTTGAAAATTATTAAAATGTTTATTTAGCTATCGCTTTAAGGTAGTAGAAAAACAAATGATTTAATACAAAGTATATACGTATGTTATGAGAACTATAGCCCACCATATTGTTTGTCATACCACTTTGAATGCTGTAAGTGCCTTCGAACTGTACTAGTTTTTATTCAAACGTAAACTATTTAACAAGCAAACTACTTCCGGGAATTTGCGCAAAGCGCACGAGTCGTGTAACATCTAGAAACTGTACAACTCAACATCACAGCTTGCGCAAACAACGCTGCGATAACTGACAAGCGGTAATACTTACAATTTCAAAAGTAACGTCAAAGTGTTTGAAACCACGTGCTTCTCGTTTAAACAACCAACCCCATTCATTAATACCCAAAGTATACTAAAAATTACTACCTTTGACTTTCCACCGTAAGTCGAGTACTTTATTGAATATTTGTTTGAATGTACAGGTTTAGCCTTTTTCTTGGTAAGAGGGATGATTTGCTATAAATACAGGAAATAATGAGCAAAATGCACCCCTCTCTTTGTAGATGTCAACTGTAAAAGTATAGTCGCTTCAGATTGAAGATTGATTATGGAAGTGTCTCAACCTCACAAAAAACTGAACACTTTTTCATAAAATCATACACATTAAATTCTATGGGTGTACACTTTTTCTGATTTTTTTTGTTTTTGTTACTGAATATGTTGAATAGTTTAAATGTTATATTAAGAACTAAGTTAAGCCGCAACTTCTGATGCCTCGGAACCGTTTTGGTTGTCCTCTTTGACCGGTTCGTCCAGCTTAGCTTTTTTCTCTGGTGTTGCTGCAGTGGAATCTTCTGTTTTTGATTCTTCTTCGGCTACTTTTCTCTTTACAGCTTCGGCGGGTGCTGCATCTGTAATAGATATAGATTATTTAGCATAAATTTATTTTTATATTTTCTTAATTCTTATTTTTCTTTTTTTTTTTTATACTTTTTACTTATATTTGGTAAGTAGATATATAGATGTTTTACATACCAGTTGCTTCGCTCTCCGCTTCCTCATCTTTGCCATTTTCTTCGGCAGGAGCGGCAGCTTCAGCCTCGGCAGACGCTTCTTTTGGAGTTTCGGTTGTAGATTCAGCAGCTACTTCCTCAGCATCGCCGTTTTCTTTAGCGGTTGCACTGTCAGCGCTACCATTTTCGGCGGCTGGTGCTGCTGCTTCTTCTACCACCTCTTTTTCTTTTTGTGCTTCTTTTTCTACTTCATCAGATGCGACTTTCTCAACAACTGGAGTCTCACTGAAAACAATAAAAATTTAAACGTTAAGATAAAATACTATTATGATTTGTGTGACCAATCAAGTTATTCTAAATAGAATGAATCATAGCTATACTTTTCGAGAAGCTACAACGGTTACAACGACACTTCATTTGAATTTGCACATTTAAGCAAAACTCGTTATTTGTTTAGCTGTAGCGAAGCGTTAAAAATAGAAGAAAAAATTATTGAAGTTGGAAACAAAAAAAAACCCAAATATGTATCAAGACCTTCCAGAGAATTACCATTGCTATTGATACAATAGCGTAGCTTGTGCGCAACAAAATATATCAAAAACGAATACATACGAATACGGCAAAAATTGTACGAATGGAATATAAGCGAAGCGTTGATAAATGATGTAGGTGAATAGAACTAGTTTAGCGCAACAAAAACGCACTAGAAATATGCAAAGCAAAGAAAAGGCAGCAAAAAAAAAAGTTAGCCGCAAATAGCGAACGCTTAAAATGTTGTGCTTATGCATAGAGCATTGCGTGGTGGAAAAGGTTTTGGCCTGTATGTATCACCTTTTCCGTTTACTTGATTTAAAAAGCCGACTGCGTTGTATATGTCGCGCCAAAAACGAATGCGATGTCTTATAGGTACGCTGTATTTACGCGAAAGAGACAGAAAACGACGCCGAATGCCGCTATTTGTTATATACACAAAAATTTCCATATTTCTTTTTTAGCACACTTTTAATTTAACACAATTCTTGTAATATAACTTCAACCATACTATACATATATATTTATATATATAAAAGCATAATTGCAAAAGTAATTAGGAACTCACTTTTTTTCAACAACATCGGCCATTTTGTTAATGTTTTTTCTTTTGTATTTTTGCTCAACGAACAGGAATGAATACTAAAAGCTCAAATGAACTGCGATTTGTATGTTTTATGAATAAAACACAAGAGTTTAGCAATTGATGATGCTAAATATAAGTCTGCGATGGAGAAAATCTTCAAAATTTATCAACTTTTTTTTTTTTATATGTATATTAAAAAGATGACTTTATTTGACGAACAAAATAGTAGAAGACAAACACGTCCGAACCGTAGAAGCAACTAACGCCGAATGAGACGTTTCGCACTTTTCAGCGTTCACAGGTAGATACACGAAACACACGGTTGCATTCACGAAATCGCGAATAACAACCAAACACAAATTGAATACCTGTGTGCATATACGAAATATCAACGAAAAGTCATTAATAAAGTGTTGTTGCCACTTTTAACAGCAGATTGTGTAAATAAGTACTGACTATAACTTCTGTGTAACGCTGAAAAACAATTTCTTTGCACAAATATTCATTAAATTTCAAACAAACTTCAATGCATACCTGCAGAAAGCGAGCAGGTGTTGATTTTCCGATGGAAGGCGCTATACACACGCTACAGTGCGCACAGCGTTTGGCGAAATGGTCACACTGGCAACATTACAGGAACGGAACGTAGAGAATTTTGCGTACGATTTCGACCGGCGTGAAACGAGATTTGCATGTGGCATTGAAAATAATACCAAGAAAAATTGCAAGAAAATAGGTGGAATTTTAAGCACATAGAAACAAAGTAGCGTTACTTTAAGCGCCAAATACACTATACGAAATATGCGTTGAAATATGACGAGTTTGTTTGCCGATTAGACAAATGTTTAATGGCAAAATTGATACCTTTTGCTTTCTATTACTTTTGAACTAATTTTTTGCATTTTTTGTAACATTTAATATTTGTAGCCCATTTTATAAATAAGAATTCACTTTCATTATTGCTTAGTGTGTCTTTTTGATAAAGTGTTCATTTAAACAATTGCTGCATATACATACATATCTGTATATACCATATATACATACATACATACAAAATATGAACATTTCAAACACATGTTATCTTAAGTAAGCTTGTCAACTGGGAGAAATTTTTGCAAGGTGGCGAATGTTCGTCGCTTTGAAAAACATGCACTACAACAAGCCAGAGCCACAAATCAGCTATAAGCGAAATTTACACAAACAAACAAAATATTGCAAATAATATTTGCGTATATGCAGCTATATAATAATATATGTATGAATATTAAGAAGATTTTGTAGCAAAAGTTAACACGTGTTTTAGAATTTAAACAATTTTTGATTGCCAACTATTAATATACATATAACCATTCGCCTTAACAAAATTGATTGAGGATATATGCAATACCAACAGTAAATATGATTTCAGTTTGCTTTTGAAACGTGAAAATGTACATATGGTACAAACATAAATATGTGTATATCTATTCGGCTGAATCATTTGCAAAAACGGCGACTTGCTGATCTTCACTACGAATTCCATTACAAAGCAGCTTAAATTTCGGCGAATTTCATTTGAAGGCTTAAATATACCTTTTATGGTTTACATAAACAACTTTTTTGGGTACATTTTTAGATCTTTCGAGATTCTGACAGTTCCACAGTCTGTTGACAAGCTGCTTAATAAATAATTGACATGACATCACAAAGTATGTGACGTCATTGACGTCACTAAACATTATTTACTCATATCTTGCTAATTATTAATCCCCTTTGAGAGGTTAATATGTTTCCTAAAAGTCATAATATCTGTGTGTATTTGTCTGTTCAATTAATAAGAAAAAAGCATGTGCATATAGTACATGAGGCAATCTACGGTTTTAAGACGCTGATGCATCAATTCAATAATTCATTGCTTTTAGATACTCCTTATACAAAATGGCCACATTGTTTGCAATAATAAAAGAGAAATCCAGAACGTGAAATATATAGGAACAATAAAAAATGTAACATTTATATATACGTACGTTTATTGTAAACCGGCATTTTCAATACAACAGGGTGCAAGAGAGGAATGAATTTAGTATTCAAAAATTCAAATAATGTAAAAGCAACTGGGAAGTTTGGTAGCACTGCCGAATTTCCTTCAAGCGCAGGAAATGCTTTCAAATTAAGTGGAAGTGGTGTTGCAAATAATTAAATTTTAAATAATAAATATAGTACGTCTTTTTAACCAAATTTTAATTTTTTTTATAGTGTTTCAATTTAATAAATGTATTCAGATATAGCAGCATTGCATGTAATCCATGCGAAATTAAAGATATCAAATAAAAAAGTTTTAAATATAACTTGATTTTGATAGTTTAGTTTATATGCAATAGTGATCCAATATCGGCGGTATTGACAAATGTGCAGTTTTTATGGAGAAAAGGACGTGTGCAAAATTTCAGAGCGATATCTCAAAAACTGACGGACCTGTATACAGACAGAGGACAGAAATAGAAAAGGCAAGCTACCTATATTATGAAAATCCCTTCTCATATCACTTTACAGCAAGTGCAAACACATAGATATGTATATTGTTAAAAAAAAAATAGCGCATAATTTAGTAAATATGTATGTATTTACGTAATTAATTTCAAATGCATTCAATAAAATGCTAAGCGCATTATATGCCTGCTAATTAATTCTATCACTGGTTACAGCCATCTAAAGCGATAATTTGCTGAAATTGTTTTTAACATATTTCAATGTCTAAATTATTAGCTTCTAAAGCTTATGTGTTAATACACATGCGTCTATATAATGTCTATTAAACAGTTTTGGTTTTCTCTTTCTCGATTTCGACAAAGCGATTGCGTTTATATTGATCTTTATAGCCAGCAATGTAACGTAAACGTCCCTCATACTGCGTCTCCATAATGGTTTGTACCAAAGGTGGGTGATCTTCTCCCAATTCGAGCCACATCTTGCCGCCGGGACGCAAATGTTCACAGGCTAAATTGAAAACCAAGCGTGCTACACGTAAACCATCGGGACCACCATCGAGAGCATTCAAATTTTCATAACTGGAAATTAAAAAAACAATTGTCAAACATTTTTAGTAAATTTAATTTTAATAGTAAATTTACCAAATGACTTCCGGCTGCAATAAGGGGAACTCTTCTGATTTTACATATGGCGGATTACCAATAATTAAATCGTAAACTTCGTTCCCCAACTCGGCTGGTAGATAATTATCTACTTCCATAGTGTGATGATATACAGTGAATCGGTCGTCTAAACCAAGCAACTTGGCATTTTCTCTAGACAAATCTGTTGCTGCTTTACCGCGTTCAATTGCAGTACTGCGTACATTGGGCAAAGCATGTAGTATAGCTAATGACATAGCACCGGAACCGCAACCAACCTCTAACATGTTAATGGGACCTTTAATATCGCGATACACTTCAATCACTTTGGAAACGAACTCCTCCGTTTCCGGTCGTGGAATGAACACGGAAGGCGAGGTTTTCAATGTCAAATCCATAAAGTCCCACTCGCCTATTATATACTGTAGTGGCATACGAGCACAACGTGCTTCACAAAAACGTTCAAATTCTTGCAATTGATTTTCGGTGAAAACTAAATCATTTAAACCCTTTACCGTATTCTATAACATGAAATTCATAGCTTATTATTAAAACACTTTCATTTGCAAATCCTAAAAACTTACGAATTTCCTTCTAAGCACATGCGCTACCAAACATTTTAAATTAAAATCAATATCTCCAACGCCAGCCTTACGTAGTTTTTCGGGCCAACCTTCAAGCGCTTTATTTACTTTGATCGTTGGCGATTGTGTGGTTTGTTGTTGTTGTTGTCGCGACAAATCAGTTCCACTGGTGGCCTTGGTATAATTGATGGTACTTACACGGGAGACTTGCCGCGTTTGTTGACGCAGTTGCTGCGCCACCAGTTTGAACATATTGCAAAAATTGTGCTGCTTACTTTCTGTTATGAAATGCCAATTAAATAATTTGGAAGTGTGCTTTATTAATCTGAATCAAAATTTGACATTAGCCTGCTATACTCGTTCGAGTATTCGTTATATTCGGTATTCGGTGTTACAGTGTTGCATCTAAGTACTTAAGTTTTGGAATAAAGTGTCTTTCTAATTATATATCAATTAAAATTTTGTATAATATGAGTTAAATGTTGTTGATGAAGTCAAATAATTTTTTTCTGCTAATTTCTTCTTGCTAATATAGATTTTGACAATGCTGAATAATTGTGGAAAAGATGATTCAATTCGTAGCTCCAATTTGAATAAATAAATAATTGATGACTTCATATTTGGTATATTAGCAGTATTTATACCATGAACAAAGCATATTAAATTTGCAACACACCGAAGGAAACGACGCAGATTATTATTTCAGTCATATAAATAAAACAAACATGACTTGCATTAGTTGAATATTTAATATTCTTATTTAAAATACAGGAATCTTTAATCTTCTACATAGAAAATCAATATAAAAATAAAATTCGTGACAAATGTTTAAAATCTTTTTTAAAACAAAAATTTTATTGCTTGTCGCCAAATGCTATTTTTTTTTTTATTTTACCCCCTCTGATGTTGAAGCTGTGACGTTTATATCATGTGAGATTGTTATATTTCTTCCTGGTGAAGTGGCAGAAGAATTTTCTGTTTGCAAGCCCACAAATATGTTTGATTTTGCAACATCTACAGACAGCGTTGTATCCTTCAAAATTTCTGGCTTATCTTCAGCATCCTCCTCTGTTTCTGATTCGTATTTCTGTAAATTAACGGAATATTTAACAAACTTATTGAAGTACAGCAATGCAGCGGTTATTCAATTTTAAATGCACAACACTAAAAAATATTTGCAACAATTTTATTCTAGCATAAGTTGTTGTTGTTGTAGTGACAAGAAATTTATACAGTAGGCATACACAAAAGGCTTACCTTTTGCACATATTGACGACGTGTCGGTACGGTTAGATGCAAGACACACGTCGATGCATTATCAAAAATGCATGGTATTGTTTCCTGGCATACTACGCCACTCCGCTCCACTTCACACGCACGGAAAAGTATCTGTCTTTTATCCTCCAAAATATGTTTACGGCAATATTTACAACAAGGCATTGCACGTTCGCCACATTTTACTCCACCTTCGGTGAAAATACATTTATTAAAAGTGGGACCTTTGTGTCCAGCTGGTGCATCTGAGGCCTTGGCACGTTTTTCTTTGAATTTCTTATATAGCACAGCTTCGACACCGTTTCGGCGATGATATGAACTGAGCGCTTTGAGTTGTTTATAGAGTACACGTTCCTTCGGCGACTCCTTTAGCTGATCGTGAATACTACCTATAGTGTAAAGAGAGCTCTATAATAAACATTACATACTTATATGCAAAGGTTATTATAGACTTACAAAGCATTTCACGTTCTTTGCGTAAAGCGGTTAAATAGTGACGGCGACGTTCTTTAAGTACATAATGTAGATGATTGATTTGGTCAATGTATAGACCTTGTAACTTTGTCAGTTTAGCTTCTGATATGCGTACGGCCTCTTCACGTGTATAAATACCAGCATGTCTTTTAATGAGAGAAAAATAGTTTAGACGAAAACATTACAGTATGCTACTTATACATATACTTCAGTAAATCTTCTGCGAGTGAGTTGTCACTATCGTCGTCTGATTCATTCAATTCAAAATTGCGAGCTGTGTTCTTGATGTTGGGCGGCTCCTCGTGGTCACTTGAACTATCTGAGGCATATTCCAAAATGCGTCGCCTTTTTTGCAATTTCGACATTATAGTACCTAGGGTGTTTATCTGATCGTGTGCAACTGTAAAACATACTTATAATTCTGATACTCTACTTGTAAAATTTGTATTTTTACTTACCAAATGGCGTGACATGCGGTGTAACCACATCAATTTCCTCATCCTGCTCGCTATTGGTGCGTTCAAATTGTTTGTCATCTAAATTGATGTGATTACTCAAGCTGTGTAATAATGCCTCATTTGTATCGGTGCGTTTTAGTTTGCCCACAGTAGTATGCGTTTTGCGTAGCTGCGCTTGACGATTATGTTCAAAGCAAAGTGTTGTCATTTCAGGATCCTTTTTAATATCATGTTTCTGTAGTGCATTTAGACACTTGCGCCCATTGGAATAAATAAAAGTACATTGGCGATAATTTCCACGGGGATCGCGTAATATGTGTTGTATACAATATTCACTACCATCGGCACGGGGTAGGGAGCATTGATATGTTGAATTCGAGCAAGCTTTAGCTTTGTTTTCAATTTCTTGATGCAATTGCTCACGCAGTTCTTGCAAGCTACCGCCAAAACGTAGAAATTGACGTTGGCGCAAATGCGAGCAACTAGTAGTCATTTTTTAATTCGTTTATTTTATTTGGATTTTTAATTAAATTGTTATTTGGCACTTATTAAACAATATTTGCTTTAAAATACGGTTTTAAGGAAAATACGACACAACAAAATTGTTTTTGCGAAAATTAATAGCATCAAAATATTGTGATTTTTCGATAACATTAACAAAGTGTATCGATAACTACCATCATAAACGCGTCCTCATACCGCGATTACACAAAGCTTTTGTTAAAATTGGGTAATTGAAAAATAGATGAATATTTGGTAAAGGTAGTAAGAAGCTTCTAAAACTGAGTGAAATCTACTAATTTAAAGGAAATTATAAATAAATTGTAGTATTATATATAATTTTCTGTAGTAGCTGTAAGTAATATGTAAATACTACTTGTGTAACAATATTTAACAGTAAATCAATTGTAACAATTGTAGGTTATGTAGAACCGACAGCCAAATATGTAATACCTTACCTTGTAATCTAAAATAAAACACGATTGATTTCATATTTATCTTTATATTTTTATTTACTTCATCCATTTATACTGCACCCTCAAAAATCGACCTCAACACATTTCATTACTTTTTAGCATTCATTATCATAAATCTATATAATCATAATAATACTTAACGTTATGCAACATTTTCTTTATTTTTTTATTTTTTCTTTTTTTCACTGTTATTACAAATCTAAATTAATAGCTACATACAGATTATAAAAAGGTGAGGGTAGTATAGACTGTAGAGACTTTAACTTTTTTTTTGGAAATCAGATGGTTTTTGTTATAAATACAATATTTAAATGCATATAAGAATATGTATATAACGGGTTAAGCAAATTTTTTAACTGAATTCCGTTTTATTTTTTAATTTCGTACTATAATTTAGATTTTGCAAAGCCGCAAATATTTTTTTTAAAACAAATTTTTATATTGGAAAATTGCGAAAAATCATTTACAGTAGAGAAAATCTAAATTTCAACTTTTTTTCATTATTTCATTGATAACTAAAGTTGTTTTTATAATATATAGTTTTTAATTGAACGCATATATTATATCGAAAATTTGTGAAAAATTATTTATGGTAAGCACATTGAAAAATCTAAGTTTTTAATTTTTTTAATTATTTTATTGGTAACTAAAGTCAGTTAATTTTAATTAAAAACTTTCTACCAAGCAAAAATAAAAAGTTGAAGCCAATATATATCTACACCAATGTTTTTCTAATAACTTTTATTTTTTATTTTTTATATATGTTTTCGTTACTTTACAACTCTTCAAATATGTATGCTCTCTAAGTGAATATTTTATATACGATAAAATGCTTTTAAATCTTACAAATTCTCATATAATTTTCTTCTTCTATTTTTGTGCTATTTTTTATACAGTAGCTTAGATCTTAAAATGGCTTTTTTAACATATTTACGCTATATATTAATATACTTTTTTCATGTATGCACTTTTACACTATATATTTATATATATATATATATATTTATTAAATACTAAAGCGTTATTGCACTTATTCCGTCCTATGGATTATTTTTATTTGCTTATATATAGCTTTTTTTATGTTTGACTTAAAATTGTGTTTTATAATATTTATATACTCATACACTCTAATTTCCTTAAATTAAGTATTCTACATTATGCATTTTTTAATTTATTAATTTGCGAATCCTACTTACACAACATTTTTCTATATAATTATTTGTATGTCTGCTATATTAGCTTATATATACTTACACAGTATTTTTTATAATTTCAACGCTCAGACTTAAACTTTTGCTGTTGATATATGCTTGTCACTATATTATTTAATATGTAGTATATTTAATTTATGTATATAAATTTACGCGTGTGTTTTTATTTTTGTTTCGTTTATGTTTGTGAACCTACATTTCTCTCTTGAACTATTGCAAGAAAACTATGACATCATATACTTTTCTATAATAATTTATACCTACCTCAAATAAATTATATTTATATTTTATAATTTTTATAACTTCAATATATATTTCATGAATTTTTTACCATATTCTGTGATTAATGGCGTGCTTACAACGTATTTACACGTTACGTGCTGTTTACACTAATTATTTTTTTGTAATTCTAAAGTCTCAACTTTTTTGTTTGCCTCAGCAGTTTTAATTTTTCAACTACACATTTCACAATTCCTGCTTGGATTTTGCTAGTCGTTATATAGGTTTTGGAGTAGAGTTCGTGCTTTGTTGAATATTTTATTTTACTGTTTATATATATATTGTAGATACATATATTTTTTATACATAGTCATACTTATAATTAAAAAATATTTTTTTATATATGATTACTATTTATATTTTTTTTCTACATTGATTTTAATGCGCACTTTCATACTAATTTTCTAAAATATACATAATCTAAAGTTCGTTCTCAATCATTCTTCACATATATCAATTAACAACGCTGTAAGATTTTTTTAAAATAAATTTATTTTTATAAGGAATTAAAAATAATAATCGTAAGTATATTTATTTCTATTTAATTCATTTGCTATAATTTTTTTCAAAATTATATTTTTACTTAGAAATATTAAATTTAATATACTAAAACAAATATTTGTGAGAAATAAAAATATTCAATTATTATTCAAAAATGTTTTCAAATTTATTTTTTTACTAAGAGGAAATAAATCAAAACGTATAAGTAAAAATAAAAATGTTTGTGAGAAATATACATATATGTATGTTTAAAAATTTGCACTATTTTTTTCAAAATGTCATTTTTATCAAGAGATATTAAAACAAAATTACCGAAAAAAAAATTTAATATCGAATTTTTTTTTCATTTAAATTTAATATCTTATATGAAACATCAATGACCAAATTACGAGCTGATATTTCTTTCTTAGACTAAATGAAAATTACAGAAAAAAATATTTTCATATCGAAATTTTTGACATTAATTTTTTTTATCCATTAATTTTAAAATCTCTTATATGGAACATCAAGCGGCACGCTTATATTTTATGAACTCTGATTTCGTATTGAAAAATATAAACTTAAATATTTATAAAATTTATCAAGGTCACAAAAATCATAACTTGCCTAAATAACTAAAAAAATGTAAACAAAAAAACAATTTTTTATTAAATTAAATTGCTTCACTTTATTAAAAAATTTACAAAATTTAAAATACACAGTTTATTATATAAAGAATTACACATTAATTAACTTAAAAATTAAAATTAAGGTTAAAAAGTGGAATAACTAATGTTTATAAAAGGGAACTTAAGTTAATTAAGGCAGAATGTGCTAAAAACCAGAGTAAAACTGAATTAAGAGTTGGCAGAGTAACCATTGGGGCAAGATAAATAATTTTGATTTAGGGCAATCAGTAAAAAACTAATTTAGTAAAAAAATTTTACAATAAAAAATAACTTTAAGGCAATCAATACAAAATATTTATTTAAAAAAAATTTACTATTTTATTAACCTACGTATATTTTAGGTGTTTAAAAAAATGTATTTTAGAATTAGTTTTTAGAGCAATTGAATTTTTTGGATAAACTTTTAACTTTATATGGGCAATTGAGGACGGCATAAAAAAATTACATTACAGAAAAAAGTAAAAATAGTTGTAATTGAAAATAAAAAAAAATTGTAACTAATTTTACTAATTGTAAAAAAAGATAAATATTTTGAAAATATATATATATAAAAGCAGCTACTACTTTACTGGCCATTTTTTGATTTTCCACAGCTGAAACTAAACCAAACATTTTTAAAATTATTTATTAAAAAATCAAATGAATAGCTTTGCACATATTATAGTTGTATTATAAATTTTTTAATTATATTACAACAATGATAAAATGTTTGCACTTTTTTTATTGCTATGGAAGTTTCAAACCTTATTAAAGTAAAAAAAAAATAAATTGTTTCATTGAATTAGCTGCTGGTAAAAAATGAATATCAAACACATGACAGAAAAAAAATTGGAGCTTAAAAACTAAAAATTATAGGCGGAAAAATTTTTCTATTAAAAACTAATTTATTATAAACTAAAAAATATTACATGATTTTACTGCAATACTTACAACTTAAAAACTAATACATTGCAAAATAAAATGTATTACATTATTTCACTGTAATACTTTGCCTTATTACAATTTCATATAAGCATTCTTACTATTGCATTTTGCTATTTATTTTATGTTTACTATTTTTTTACAAAATCTTATTGGTTTCATTTTAAGTCCTTACAAAGTGATTGTTGCGGAAGAGCTGCCGGGTCGTTGTTGCTTTATATATTTACTTTGAAATTTTGGTTATATGAAAAGCGTGGAAATATCATAAAAAAAGTTTTACAATTTAAACTTATACATTTTTAAATTTAAAAACTTAAAAAGTATGTAACTTAATCAATATTTGATGATTATAAAATGCATTTTTTTAAAAGTTTTCTTGTTGTGATACTTGAAAATTTAAAAATCTGTAACTAAAATAATATTATTAATTATAAAATAAATTTCTTGTAAGGTTTTCTTGTTGTGATATTGTTCTATAAACAGAACTAATTTTAAATTTACATATACAGATATTATTTACATTAATATTATATTAATAATTAAACATTATTAGTATACTATGTAGATTTAATTATAAATAATAAAATAATTTACTGAAGCTTTGAAATAGATAAGGAGCGGTGTTGATTTCTCTTTATATATTTTTTTTCTGCAATAAAAACATGATCGAACACTAATTAAATTGTAAAATACAATATTAAAAAAATAAAAAAAATTAAATAAAATAAAATAGTATAAATTACTTGCAAATTATATAGAGAGTTATATAAACTATATAAAAATTTAGTCAAAAAAAACTGACTTAATATTTTTCAACTTTACTTTTAACATCATCTAAAAATAATGTCTTATTATTAATTTAAAAAAAATTAGTCATTCACTTGTTTATAAATTAAATTATTGACTTTTGCAATGAGATTCAAAGAGGTTATTAGTTGCCAATGTCGATGAAATATTATTAATATACGTGCTAAGATGCCTTTATAAAAAATATTGCTTTCAATTATATTTCAACTAATAGCTTAAACAAAAAAATTTTTATAGCGCATGATAAGTACAAAATAAAGAAAAGTTTTAAACACAAAAAAATTAATAAAACATATAATTAAACTGTAGCTTTAAGTGTCGCCTCGTCTAAAATATTGTACCTCTAATTAATTATTTTTATAGCTAACGCAGAAAACAAAAATACATGAAAATATTTAAAAGAAAGTTCAATTGCATTAGCTTCAGTGTAATCTCGTCTAAAATATTGTATCACTAAGCATATTATTAAAATAAAAACATTTACAAATATTAAAAGTTATGCGCACCTCTTAAGACATTAACAATAATTTTTAGTGGACAAACTAACATTTACAATTATCATTCTACATACTTAATTTTGATTGTTTTTTTCGTTTAAATTAAGCACTGTATTATTTATATTTTTTGTGCAAATAATATTTTCTTTGCACGCACAATTTTCATTAGTTCAAAAATTAAATAATTGTTAGTGAATTAATCGATTAGTCGATAAATATTTTGTATAGTTACAATTTATACTCAATTTCTATGTTAAGGTAATCATTAGTACAGCTAATGCATTGAATTTATCATTTAGTAAATATTACTGATTAGTCAATCAATTTAATGCATAACAGTCTTTTTAGTTCACAAATAACTTAAAAGACAAATATGGTTTGTATGGGGCAGTTAGGTGACTATGCTTTCTAAATTAGCTGATGGTGTAATTGTAAACAATCTAACATTATACTTTACTTAACTTAATATAATTATCAACTAAATTGCCTTAAATTAGACACATACGCGCATAAGTACATATGTATGAATATGTATGTTTTTTCTAAATTATTTGTTCTTTTCTATAACATTCTTTGTGCTTAGAACCTAAGCAATTTAACTTAGCATTTAGTGAATACAATAGCGATACGTTTTGTTCTTTTTTTATTTTGTGGCGTGTTTTAATTTCGTTTATTCATGACTGAACAAGTTGCGAAGAATCCATATAGCCAGTTCCTGATGATATTGCAAGGGCAGCATTCATTTTGCGGCGTGCTTACTATACGCAGCAGTTTAGGCGCATAGACAAAATAAAAGCTCGCTTTGTGTGTAACTTTCGGAAAATCCCACATTGAGTTTTTTAATTCAAATTTATAGTGTATTGCAGCTAACAAGTATGTTGTTAAGAATTGAAAAAAGAACTCTGAACTTAATTAGTGTAGTTGTCAAATGAGCCGAGATACTCTAAAGCGGCGCGATAGCAGAAGTGATATTGATCCTGGAATTAAAAAAATTGTAGTTAATAAAATATTGTGCGAACTTCTCGTATCTACAACTGCACCAAATGTAGATCTACTTTGATTAAAAAATAAATAAAATATTTAAATATTATGCTATTTTAATTATAATATTTAAGTTCTGTTATGTTAAGTTATGCGACGTTATGTTATTTCTACTATGATTTTCTACAAATTTTGTAAACATTAAATTATAACGTTATGTTGTTTGTTTTTACAATGATATTCTAAAAATATTTTGTAAATATTAAGCTACGTTATATTAATTTGTGTTGTGTTATGTTACGTTATGTTATTTTATGTTAACTGTAATTTTCTACAAATTTTGTGAATATTTAATTTTTAAGTTACGTTATGTTAAGTTATGTTCTGTTATGTTATGTTCCGTTACAACAACAATTTTACACGTTTACTATGATTATCTAATTTTTTTTTTTAATATTTGGATATTATGTTACGATATGTAAAGTTATGCTACGTTGTGTTATGTTACGTTGTTATATTATTTTATGATTTTCTAAAAATGTTGTAAATTTTTAAATATTAAGTGACGTTATGTTATGCTTTGTTGTGTTATGCTACGTTATGTTATTTTATAATCCTATATTAAAAAAAAAGGCTTCATAATCACCTCCGTTTGCACCATTGCCGGGCGTTGGGCACGTAGTATGCGCACCGTTTGGAATACATCCAATACGCCTTCATATTGCATACGTTCCAATACAATACTGAGTGTTATAAAGACACCAGTGCGACCCACGCCAGCGCTACAATGCACCGTAATCGGTCCATCTTGACCGAATTGTTCTTTTGTCTTATGCACTTGACCGATAAAATCAATAAAACCTTCACCAGACTTGGGTACACCTTGCTCTGGCCAATCGATGAATTGAAATTGGCGTACGGTACGTGAAGAGCCGTCACGTGCGTCGGTGACCTGAGGGGAGAGAAATAAAAGATGCATTTAAATATGGAATACCAGTCTAGCAAAGCTGTTATGTACTAATATTTAAAAGTTCTACCATAACCTATAATTCTCCTACCTTGAACTCGCGTAATTTATATTGTGGCATATTGTATTCAGCAATGGGGTCCACCACATAATATTGATAGCGTACTGAGCGTTCATGTGGCCAATACTGATAGCATTTTTCCTATAGAATTACGAAATAAAAAAAAATAAATTTTTGCAACATAACCTTAAATATATTTTTGAAAATTTAAACAAAAAATATTGCACTTACTCTGCCCATCTCCTTGAGCTTAGTTAGCATAACAACAATTGTTGAGTTGTGCTCCCACAGCATACGCCAGAAATCTTCAGCAGTATCCTGTACCGGACCCTGAGCGGCAATATAAGCCGAACGATAGCGATAGCCATCAATAAAGCTAGCATTGATGTAGTCACTACCTTCAATACCATGTATGGGTGTAAGGTAGACGCGACTCGATTCATATGGTAGTATATGTACCAAACGGTTCTTATTCTTATTACATGGCAAATTAGCGGTGACGAATTTCGATGAGTCCACCTTAACATTGGAGAGCTTTTTAAATTCCATTTCCATGCCAGTGATATTTTCACCCGGTTCGGTTAGTAGTAATTTTTGTAGGTGGGTATGTAAATTTCGTGCTGGTACCTCGGTTTGACCGCAAATGATAGCCTCCAATATGGCATCATGTATGAATATGTATTGATCCTCAGTCTGTACCATGTAGTTACGTTGAGCGCGCAAACAAGTCACATGTCCGTATATGTCAATAATCTTCTCATGTTTCATACGTTCCAACATCGAATCGATAACAATATAACAACCAGTACGCCCAACACCAGCTGAGCAATGGACAACAACTGGACCCGAATCGGGTGGAGTGAGCGCACGACAGCGACGTAAGAATTGTAGGAATGGTGCTGGATGCTCGGGTACGCCGTGATCCGGCCAGGCGGTGAATTGCAATTGTTTGATCTCACGACGTTCGTTAAAACCTTGACGACATAACTGGAATGTGCGTATGCTGTAGGTGGCGAGCTCTTGCGTTTCTGTGATCGTGACAAACATTTGACCGTAAGTCTCTGTGCCACGTACCGGCCAATATTGATCGCATTTGATACGCGTACGCTCCTCCAGACGTGTCATCATAACAATAGTGGTGGTTTTCAGTTCCCAACACATGCGCCAGAAGTCACTGAAAGTTTCCTGTAGCGGTCCCTGAGTTGCCACATAAGCATTATGCTTGCGATAGCCATCACAATAGTTGGCATTTATATAATCTGAGCCGATAACGCCGTCCATCAGTGGCAATTGTACACGCGAATGATCGTAAGCGGTTACATTGGCATAACGATTCTTCGATTTATTGTAATCGTAATTAGAGTTATCCCATGTGAACTGTTGTCCCGGTTCAATGCTCTCATATTCTTGCGAAAATTTTTGATTGTCGTTCGCTTTGAGGCGCTCAATGTGATTGGCGAATTCGGAAATGGGTATGGGCGGATGCGAAATCATGCCGGGTGTTTGGAAGTTCAAGCGACGCATATCGACGGGATCACTGGGTGTGGGACCGGCACCGAGATCGGCTGCCATCAATGGACGCGTGACAGCAGCTTGGTCCGGTGTTTTGCATGGCTGACGACGACGACGCACAATGCACCAGGTAACGAATATGGTGAAAATAAGTGCGGCAACAACTGGTAGCGCCACCCACCACATACCCTGCTCGTCTTTGTTGCGATTGACAGACACTTCTGGTTCGGATGGCCAATTTGGATCGGGGCGATGTGGTCGTTCGCCAGGTGGCGCTTCACGCATATCCAATGATAGAAATTCCGAGAAAGGACTGGAAGTGTAAAGATGTTTTTGTGGCGTATCGACAACGGCGCGCACGAAAATACGATAACGCTTGTCGCGCTCAAGTTTACGATTGGTGAAGTTATGATAATCGTCACCGGAGCCGAGGTGGAAAGTGAAGGGTATGGAACGTTGTGGGAATTTGGCGGCAATATAAGGCGAGTTCGGACGTTCAGGTTTATTACGTCCCGGCAGCAAATCTTCAGTTAGGAACTGATCTGGATTCTTGTGCAAGTTCGATTTATCCTCAGGCACCACAACAAGATAGTAATGTGAAATTGGACCATACTCTTCGGAGGCCTGCGGTAGTATAACTAATATTTCTTCACCGTTAACCACACCATAGAAATCTGGTTTCACCATAGGTTGCGGTGCGGCCATTTGTGTTGTAACGGTGATCTTAGTTGGCGGGCGGTAGGAGTAGTCTGGTGGTATGGCGCTTACATTTACATTATACGTTGTGAATGGACTCAGCTCGTTGATTGTATGCGATTTCACATAATGTTTCAAAATAATTTCACGTTTTTGTACAATTTGTGTTTGCGTAAAACCCTGTGAGTCCACAAAAACTTTCATGGCGTCAAAGGAGATGTTATAATTTGTCGGATTTAGACGTATGGGTGGAGACCAACTTAATGTCATGGAATGTGTGCTAACATCATGTGCGCGCAAGTTCAATGGCACATCCTCGGGCTTTATTTTAACAGTAACCTTTTCGCTCAGGCGTCCTAAACCGTTCTTGAAACGCGCCGCTATCGCCACGGCATACTGCGCAAACTTCTCCAAATTAACTAATTCTGCCGATTCCGTAAGTCCCACTGTCTTTGTCTGCCATTCATCTAAGTCCTCAACTGCTGTCATGGTATAGAATATTTTGTAGCCAAGCAATTTTCCACGTGATGGCACCGCTTCCCACCAAATTTCAGCCGTTTGCTCCGATGTTGCTACCGCTTGCACTGACATCGGCGCACGTCCCATATCGCGTTCGGTTTCAATAAAGATTTTATCACTAAATGGTCCCGAACCTTGTTTCGTGTAAGCGCGTACACGGAAGATATATTCGGTATTCTCTTCGAGATTTGTGAACACCGCCTTACGCACCGTCATATTACGTTCCGAACCTAAACCATGATCGATTTTCTTATGAAATTGCACATCATAACGTGTTATAATGCCATTGCGGTGTTCACGTGTTGGTGGATCCCATGTAATGCATACTACATCCGGCGTCTGGAAGCGCACTGTTATATTTGCGGGCGGTCCCCCAGGTGTGCCCTCAGGTGTTTGGAAGATTTTCACAGTCTCTTGACCGATGCCAATGTGATTGCTACCCGCCACACGGAATTCATATTCAACGCCACGTTCTAAGTCATTAAAGCGACGCTTCGTTATTTGTGGTCCAGGTAGTATCTCTTCCTTTAATGGTTGATCTTTAACACCCCAACGTAAACGATAACCACGCAGTTCGCCATACGTTTGCGCTGGTCGTTCCCATTCGAGTTCGATGGAAACAATTGGATCACGTTCCATTATCTTTAGGCTCACGGTAGGTCGTACCGGCACACCACCTGGCGTTTTTACGATCACTGCTGCGCTACGATCGCCATCACCTTTCCGCGTAAGCGCCGCAACTTGTATGGAGTATTTGGTATCCGGTTGCAAGCCTGTCACATTATACTCCAATGCATCGACGACATCGAACTTGAGCGGTTCGTTTAGGAAGCCCTTGCCCTAGTGATATGTGAAAGGTATTGTTAGATATAACTGTTATTATGAAAGAACTATTGAAAACTGAATAACTTGCATGAAACATACTCAGTTATCAGCCATTATTTGAGAAAGTGAGACTTAAATATGTACATATGTAGTATATACAAAATATAGGTTACGATCTTTTAGGAAAATTTACCGAGCAATACATTTTCTGATCTTAGCTCTTACTGGTAGCTTACTTTAGTTTAAAACGTTCTCAATCGAGATTACTTGCACGAAATCTATATTTAGCACCATCTGGATTTATGTAGCTCTGATGAGCCTTATTATATTTTTCACGAAAAATATAGCCTAGAGCGCTCTACTTTCTGTTTCCGTCCAACTGACTTTTTGATAAAAAGTACACAAAGTCGAATAACAAAAAAAAAGACTTTGTTCGAAAGTATTCTTAGATTACCGATCAACTTAAAGAACCCTGAACCTTTACTAATCAGCGTTTCAGTTTTTTAAAATTTTTTTGTCTTTGACGTGGATAAAGATATTTGCGGAAGTGAGACGGGGAGGTGGAGAAGGTCTTCAAAAATTTCTTTTGACTGCATTATCTGCATCAAACTTAATATCATGTATAATAGAGGTATAGATCTAAAAGGCGCATTTATAGAAAGCAATTACTTGTTGCAGGACTTTAATCAGGCTCCGATCGTCAATGCTAGTACTTTAGTCAAGCCGGCCGGGAAGATTTTACTACATGTCTGGCGGGATTGTTATGGAATCATCATTCATAAGCTGCTCCTTTACGGCCGAACCCTGAATTCGGACCTGTACTGTTAACAATTGGATCGTCTGAAGGCAGCAATCGCCCACAAGTGATCAGCTTTGACCATTAGCAGAGGAATAGTGTTCCATTAGGATAATGGCAGACCACGCACTTCCATAGAGACTCACCAGAAGCTCCGGAAGCTTTGTTCGGAGGTTCTCATACAGCCCCTTTGGCACCAAGTGATTGCTACCTATTCCTATCAATGCAAATGATTTTACTGAGAAAACTTTGCCTCAAGAGAAGCTTGTGAAAATCGACAATTCTAGTTTTTTGCCAATAGGAGCAAGAGTTTCTATGAGAGTTGCGTTAAGAAATTATATTCAAATAGCTACCAGTTATCAAAGAAATATTTGACCTAAATTGAACTACTACGGTAAATAAAATCTTCAATTGAATGCAAATATAATAGATCTCCTTTTCTTAGACCTTTTATTTAGGTGTATTTAAGAATAACTACTTGAGCCACTAGCGCCACTCTATCTGGTATCGCTAATAACCAAAACTGGTCTATGCGTCGCTCACAAGTCTACCAGACTAACCTAATCTAACATATAGGTATTTGCATTTGTGGAAACTCCGTTCGTATCAAGCTTGAGATTCGAGTATTGAGCTTAAATACTTTAGAAAGCATTTATTTTCAATGAATTATTTTAAGGGAATAAAATAAAGAATAAAAAACTTCAAATATAGGGGTTTTAATAGTTTTATGGATAACGTTTTTTCATAATATTTCACTCACCTCATCACGCATTTCTTGCACGTGTATATGATAGCCACGTATAATGCCGTTACGATCTTTTTCCAATGGTGGTTTCCAGGTAACATGAATTGAAGTTGAATTTAGTGGAGTCGCCTTCACGTCTTGAGGATCTCCAGGCACTAAACGTGGCATGGCGGAAAAATTTTCGAATTAATAAAATTATATTAAAGAAATTCAAAGGTAATAAGATCGTATGAGTATTACTAGCGACTTAATGCTTAAGTAGTGGGCGTATGAAATACCTAAACAACTGGTAAATACAATACATACATACATACATATTAGCTTACAGGATAGCTTATTGTAAGCTTTGTATAACTAGTCAAATATTACATTATTTAGAGGTTTACAAATACTTTGTGGAGAATAATACTTACTTAGCTTAAATAAGTATTTAAGTATTACATACAACTAATACATACGTTGAATAAGTACATACATAATTGGCAAATAGGTTTCAAGATATTATATATTGAAAAATTTAAATTTTTTATAGAATTAAAACACTTAGAATGTTTAAAATATATAAATCTTTTTTTTAATTTTAATTTTAATTTCTTTTTTGTGGTAGTTAATGACATCACATTAAAGAAATTTGGAGATATGGGCCAAATTGCTTTGCGGAGTTTTCAATATTTAAGGTTTTGGTTTGGATTAATTAAAAAAGAAAAAACAATTAATATAAAAATTTAAAATTTTTAAAATAAAGTTATTTTCAAATTATTATAATTTTTTTCAGAGCATAACCTTTAAAGATTGCACTAATTAATCATAATTTTCAAGAGTTTTTGGGGAAAAGGGAGGCAGGAGTGGTAAATATGTATATATTTTTATTTTTACAAAAAGTTTAGCTCTCTTGGTTCGATTTAAAATTACTTTTGAACAAACGGATGTGTTTCAAAAATCGGCGCTTTGCCTCAAAATAGGCAGTTTATAATAAAAAATTTGCATAAAAAAAGCATTAGCCAAAAAGTAATGAAAATTGCATTCATTTTATTGATAAATATTTGTTTTTTTTTTGCGTAAAATAAATATATTTGCATACAATGTAAAAAATAAAATATTAAAAAATCAACTTTGGTGCTTTCAAAAATTGTGCTTTATATTTGTGCAATAAAGACATTTAGCGATTTGAAGAAAAAATTTATTTACATTAAAAATGTACAAATGGCATATAGATAAATAGTTAGAACCATTGATGAATATAAAATATACGAGAGTATAAAAATAAATTAAAAATTGTTGCAATTTTAAAAAGTTGCGGAGATTTACAAAAATCATTTAACAAAAAAATAGTATAAAAATAAAAAAAATTTTTACAAATATCGGGTGAAAGCGGTTTATGTGCGGAAAAAACAGTTTTGAGATGCTATAAAAAATTTACTTCAAAACTGTGCGGCACAATAAAAAAAAATGGTGTTCAAAAATAAGTTTCGGTTTTTTTTATTTTTTTTTATTTTATTTTTTCCAAAAAATTGCTTTTCAAAAATATTTGCTTTCAAAAAATATAAAGTTTTTTTTATTTTTAAAAAAATATTTTGTTTGGTTTTAAAAATTGTTTTTCAAAAAGCTTTTTGGTTTTTTAAAAATATTTTTTTTTCAAACATTTTTTTGTTTTTCAAAAACATTGCAAGTCAATTAGTTTTCCTTTGCGCTTGCTTTTCTTTTTTTGAATTTTTAAAACTCACATTTTTTGTTGAAAATAGAGAAGAGAAAACATACAGTCAAAATATAAAGAAGATAGTTGTTTTCATTATTAATTTATAGTTATATGCATACTAGGCATACACACTTGAAAAAATTGCTTACAATAATATTTACACAAAAATTTTAAAACATTCTTAACAATACCTAAATAATCATATGGTAATCAAAAACCAAATGCAATTACTTGCATAATTTTGTTTGGTGTAAGTTAGAGGGTTTGTGGGTTTTGTGCAGTGTTGTTAATGAATTGACAGTTCATTTAGAGCAAGAGAGCGAGAGCAAGAGTGTGCCACGCTTTCTGCGCTACTTACTAGACTTTAGTGTTGGTAAACGGTTTAATTTGTACAGTGTGCGACTAAAGTGATTGTTGTTTGATTATATAAAGACATTTACATTTAAAAATTTGTATTTTTTTCATTAAAAAATATTTATCACTATTATTGATAAGAAGAAAAATTCTTATATATTTTAAATACTCACTTTTTTTGACTAAATTCGTTAGTAAGTTATTAAATTTGAAAATTTTCATTAATTATGTTTAGAACATCATCCATTGAAAAGTGCGTTGCGTTCAGAAATTACAAAAATTGTGCATTTTGTGAATTCAAAAAAGTGTTTTTCACCATACACACAGGAATACATATACATAGATATATGGTATATCATACAAAAATCAAAAAACGGTGCATTTGTAAATTTATTTTTTCGGTGCGATTTATTCCAAAAACGAACCCAAGACAAAAAGTGCGTTTAATATATATTTTCAGTTATGTAAAATATATATATATATTTTTTTGTTTCAAGTCAAACACGAAGTTGGTGCAATTAATTGTAGTTGGTTGTATTAGAAGCGAGTGGCCAAAAAATATGTAAGAAAGAGAGAAAAATAGATTTTTTGTTTTTTATTAATACTACTTTTCAGCTTATGCAAAAATTCACTGATTTCGTAGTTCTAAACTAAAAATGTAATGAAAATGAAAATTTCAAAATTTTTTTTACTAAAAATGTAGTTTTTAGGGTTTTACGTTGGCGCTTTGTGACTTGGAATTTGTGTCGTATTTCTTGGCACACTCGCTTTAAATTTGCATAAATTAAATTCTTTTTTTGTGTGATAAAAATAGAGTAATAATATAAATTAAGATTACCAAACAAAACATTTTTAAATAAAAATGTATTCAATTACTAAATTTTATTAAAAGTTAGTTAGAAGAAACTAAGGCGAATTGTAAACATTGGCACTTATAGTATTCATATTGTTTGGCAGTTATACTAAAAATACAACACTGTATTTAAAATTGTTCTATGACATCATTTAAGTTAGAATGTACTTGTTAGTGTCAATTATTACCTAGAGACTTGAGACTATAATTTGTAAAGTTAAAAATTAATTTTTTTTATGCTCAAATTATTGCTTAAAAAAACAATTTTTATAGGTTAAAAAATATGTAGAAAAAAATTTGCAGCTTATTACGTCATAAACGAACCGAACTGTCAACATTTTTTAGCTTTTCCCTCTGTTTGTTCATGACGTCACAACTTAATGTCGAACGCACTTCAGAAAAAAAAAAATAATAACGAAGCAAAACTTTCGTAATCTCTATTTCTATTAAAAACTTGTAAAAATATATGGATTTCGTCGCAAATATGGGGCTACAAATATTAACCACTTCGAAATTTTTATGAAAATGTTATATTAAGTTTCTCTTCTCAAATACACTTTAAAAAATGGCTTACTACTTTGAAAATATTACTTTAATAGCGCTTTATTTTTATTTACAGCATGATTAATGACTCATATCATAATTTCATTAATTCTGTTCATTAAATACCTTCGATATTGTTGGGTGCGTGGGATTCGCACAGTGTAACAATTTGCAGTGGTATGTTCAACTGCAGAAAAATGGGGTAAATATAACCTTTTTATAATTATTTTTTAGGAAATTTCATTTATCATTGTTTATTGTTGCTAAATTAGCCTTAAAATGATTTCTAGTCAGATGCCATTTACCAATAGTAATATTTGATATGAATTACACGGTGAGAAATGTGAGCAAAAAAGTAGCACTTTGAAAATTTTAGCATAGATAGGGTAAAAGGGAGCGATTTTCTGGAAGTTGCTGCATATATTTCTAGCTGAGTAAAGTGTTTTGTTGCACTTACCTTTTACAGTGTTGCATTTTTATGTATTTTCAATTAGTTTTTTTTCTGATTTTTAAATACATTTATATACTATTTCTTGCATTATTAAATTTTGCAATTCACACTTTTTTGTTTTAGTTTTTTTATATATTTTTTTAAAGGGTTTATAATATAATTAAAATAGTTCTAAGAAATATATTTTAGTCTAATGGAATCTTTAAATTATTTTATAATAAATACCATACAATAACATGCTAATTATCATACCTATAAGCCTAGGTACTAATTTTTTGTTGTAATTGAAATTTGTTTTAATATTTATGCTTAAAATTTAATAAGAATTGTATAAATACTAATACAAATGAATACATCTATTCAAATAATGGCTTAGTAATGTAATATATCAGTTAATTTGCTAATTGATTTAATTAAGAAGCTATCTGAAAGGGTTATGAGCCTTAAAGGTATATAAATAGAATCAGTAAATAATATATGATATCGCAGGTCTGTATAAACATATATAATAGGTTGAAGCGAAAAAAAAACTTTTTTTTTTCTTAGCCTGAGGGTAAAATTTGTAGATTATAAAATAAAAAAAATTTTTGGGAAAAAAAATTTGTAACATCTAGAGGCTTTTAATCACTTTTAAACTAAATTTCGAGTTAAAATTGATAAGTGTTCTCTAGAAGCTGTGGAGAGTCCTCTTTCTGGCAAGTTAAAAGTTATCTACTTAAAAAATTTTTTTGTGGTCATTATTAGAGTTTTAAAGTTTAATTAAAAAAGTTTTAAACGACAACATGCTTTCCTTAAGCTTTAAAATAAATTTTGAGTCAAAAAACGTCAAATTCGGTAATTTTTATATAAATGTGAGGAGTTTAAACCAAAAAAACTTAAAAACTTGAACATGAAATTTACTTTAAAAGTGAGTGGGATGTAAAAAATATTGTTTTTTTTTCCAAATTTTTTTTTTTATCATCTCCAAATTTTCCCCTCAGGTTAAGCAAAAAACAATTTTTTTTTCGCACCACGCTAATATATAATGCCTTAGTCTATATAAAAAGTATTCAATTAATAATTAATTTTTTCATTAATTGAAGTCAAATTACTCGCTAATTGAACTCAATTTACAACATTTGTCAGTTAAGGCTCAAATAATTTGCTAATTGAGTACAATTTATAACTTAATTGAACGTAAATAACATACATATGTATGATATAAATTATGTAAAATCAGTGAGTTAATTGAGACTTATTCAAAAAATTTGTCAAGTTA